AAACGTGAGAGTTGAAAGAGTATATACACCATCAAGCGAATAACATGTAACGGTACAAAGTGATTTTGATTGAAACTCTCCTCGCAACCATGATGGTACTTAACGATTATAGTATAACATATATACGATGATATTCAGTATAACGGTTTACTATGACGGTCATCGTATGGCCTAACCATGGTGCTACATCGCCAGCACCAAGACTCTAACACCAAGACGAAATATGAATGATAACGATGTATCTCTGATCCCCTGGGGATCAGAAATGGCAGAAAGAGACATCGTCAATGATCGCCCAAGCTCCGATTGTATCCCAGGGATATGAGGGCCTCATCTTTCCTCTGACCTGGTTGCTGGTCGGGCCCGTTGTAAATGTGAAGCTTCCGGTCGAGAATAGGAGAGGGTCTCTTTCGACCGCACCAATCACCTGTTTTTCGATCATGCTGAGCATGACATGCACTACATAATAGACCACCGGAAAGTCTCATTGTTGGAGGCCCTGACTTCGACCCCGAAGCTAGGGATGGCAGAAGTGGCGAGAGAAAGGCTTGCGAAATTTTATCTTGCAGATAATTAATCTGAGGTTATCTGAGATAACCCGACAAAAAACAAGATCGATCGTTCGACGAAAGACCCTGCTGGACTGCCACCCGAGGAAACCCTGTAAACAAGGATCAGATGGTTATGCTTGGTCCGGGTGCGATCGTATCCTTCGTTGCTTCCTCGAAGCCGGCTAGCAGTCTGGTCGCTTTGAAAGCCAAAAGGTGGTGCTCACCTCGATAGTTGTAGTAGAGGTGCCGTTCAAGATAGAGAGTCGTATCCTTCCCGACAGCATCTTCGACTGCCAGCTGTTCGCCGATCATACCCTCCATCACCGGCCACCAGAAACTCTGGTTCTTGGGAAGGCCCTGCCAGGAGCAGTGAGGATAGAAGTGGACGGAGTAGAGGTGCCTCCCAAGACAGCCGCGATTGCAGCGAGATATACCAGCACTAAGGTGGCTATTTTGATTATTAAGATCATATCGCCGATATGGTAACTCTGAAGATGAAGTGGAAGTCTTCCACGGAGGCTACTCGTTGCGATCCAGGACTGATCAAATGTAAATGTGTTATTGGCGAGTGGTATCGGCAGCCGGATCTTTAACGTAACAGAAATACCGTTCAAGCTGGATTCCGGCTTCGTTGTCCGACTGCCGGAGCAGAGCCGTGGCGGGAACTAGCTTCATAGGAGCGTCAGCAACACGCCAAGGTTAATACTATTGGTATGCCGGGCGAGCGCTGTTGACAATGATCATCAGTGACTTGGTAATTCTATGTCTCACGCTCTGTTAACCTTCCACGTATCTTTTGCCGAGTCCTAAGCATTATACAGACCACGCGAATGGGAATCAAGGGTAACTCCGCATGAGGGTCTGCTTCAAGAGGGTAGCCTGCGCGGTAGCATTTTCTCTCGCTTTTTCTTTCCGATTTTTTTGTGAGTATGGGTACTCCGGCTGATGATCTCGATGACGATCTTTTACTGGACGGGATGCTCTGTCCGATCAGTCAGCTTATCATGAGGGACCCCGTGTGTAAGCATAACCGTATCCATCCGTGCATACATATCTATTGCTGCTCGGTGGAAGTTCTGCGACAGGTACGGTTGATGGGCATTCATACGAGAGATCAGCCATCGAAGCTTGGTTCCGGAACCAGGAAGTGGCGGGACTCAGACATTCTAGCCCGATGACGGGCGAGACACTCCCGACTTCAACTCTCATACCAAATATAACTCTCAAGAGTAGTACGGGATATCTCAGCGCACATTAAAGATTTACTCTATTTCTCTGGTGTATGCCCGGAGAGTTCACTGATGGACTCGAATAGAAGGTGTCTCAGTCTTTTCCATTTATCATCCCTCAGGAGTTATCGACGATTTTTTGGATAAAACACCGGAAGTGGCACAGCAGCTGGGTACGGCAGCATCGGCTCCTCCTTTATACATGCATAACGTACTAAGGTCAATTTCGTAGCGCGTGACAACTGGGTTACCCTCTAGGCATTATCCTCAGCTGTTAGTGGACATCGAACCTCAGTTGGGTATCCTGACCTCGCGAGGCAGAGCAACTCGTTGTATGGTAGTGATCGGTGATAGGATTCGTAACTGCCATCAACCTGTTGGTTTTTCGACAAAATGGTGTGGATGGAATTCACTACTTGAAACATTCCATCATAGTAGTTCTCGTAGGATCTACAGGTGCTGTTCATCAGAATGAGCGTCTGACTCGCTGATTTCCAATTGTTTATATGTTTATACAGCAGAGTAATACGCGCCATGTTGTGTAGATATGCGTTCACTCTCTTTCGCGGAGGAGCCCAGAGGGAAGCTAATAGAGTTGGAGGATCACAAGAAGACAGCTCGGAAATGTGGGATCTCAGTTTTGAATGACTGGTTGGAATCGGTAATAGTGGCGTAACGAAATGGACTGGGTACTGCTCCCAAGAATCGAACTCGGGGTCTCCAGGTGTGGAGCTTTGACTTTCCCCTCTTCACCAGATTGTCTTCTGCTCTTTTCCTTTGAGTATCAACGGCTATAACAGGAGTGTCGAGTATGAGATCAAGAAAACAGTCACTGGCTGGGGAGGTAATGAGCTTCTCATTCACCCTATCCATCCTGTATCCGGTCGTATCGTATGAGCTTCTAGCAACTTGTCTAGACCAGGATTCGAACCCGGGACCTCTGCGTAGGTATCCATATTGGAGTCACACCAGATGACCCGAAGATCCTAGTGAAGTCGTCGAACCTGAATACACATTTAGAGGAGCACTCCTGGTAGTAACAGACTACTCGGCTGGTATTGCTCAATCTCTAACTTATTCCATGGCTCGATGCTAGGGTTAATCAATTTGCTACTGTCCCAACGTGCGTGTGAGGCTCGACTAGGCTGAGCCTAGTAGTCATCACTACCCGGGTTGGCTTTCAGGTGGGTGGACTCAGATGGATGGTTGCACGTGCCCGATGAAGGCGCCAGTTTATGTGGATGGACATCAGGAGATCTCAAAGCCGGAGATTTGGTGAGAGTGTGGTATGGCTATGGTGATCAATATGAACGCTAGGTTGCTATCACATGCCCAGAGGACGGTACTCTGTGTGTGTATGTGAACGGTCGTAGGAAGGTCCAGGTAGTAGCCCTGTAGTGGTAGAGGTATTTGCAGCTACTTCGTCGTGCAGGGTCGGGAAGCGCGGATACCATCAGGGAAGCGTTCAAAGCCGCTTTACGGCTTCATTGCATTGACAGGCAATGTTACGGAAGTCGCTTTGGTGGAGGGGTCCTTAGCTCGCGATTACCACTAGTTCTTCGGTGATATTGAGGAACCCTGCAGCACTAGAGTTGTCATCAAACTTGTCATATTAGTGTACACGGGTTGACCTCCATACTATAGTTACTGGTTTACTTAGTCACGGTCTGTAGTCACTGGTTGCGTTGAAGTGTACAGATCTCAGGGAGAGTTCATTGTTTTCGGGTTTTCACTTTTTTTATCATACGACTATGTTGAACCTCCAAGAGGCGGAGAGGGCATCTCTTGTACGGATGCTCAATCTGTCAGTCGGAGATAGTAGTGGTAGGTATTCGTCATCTTGCAATCTTGCTATTCCTCAACGCTGTTCAGGAGGCCGAGTAACGGACCCATTGTCGGAAGCTAGCACGCAGTGGAAGGTGTTAGTGTATGATAAAAGTGGAAAGGATGTCATCGCTCCCCTACTTAAAATAGGTAATTGCTCTTGTTCGATCGTCCGCATCTCGTTGTAATCGACCTATTCCGTATCTTGTTGATCGACCTATTCCGTATCTTGTTGTAATCGACCTATTCCGTATCTTGTTGTAATCGACCTATCCCGTATCTTGTTGTAATCGACCTATTCCGTATCTTGTTGTAATCGACCTATTCCGTATCTTACGTTGTAATCGACCTATTCCGTATCTTGTTGTAATCGACCTATTCCGTATCTTACGTTGTAGGAGCTCTATTCCGTATCTTGTTGTAATCGACCTATTCCGTATCTTGTTGTAATCGACCTATTCCGTATCTTGTTGTAATCGACCTATTCCGTATCTTGTTGTAATCGACCTATTCAGTATCTTGTTGTAATCGACCTATTCCGTATCTTACGTTGTAGGAGCTCTCCGGCATCACGGAGTTACTTTATATCTTCAGCTGGATGATAACAGACAGGCCGTATCGAACGTAGTGCACGCATGCGCACGACTTCTGCTGATGGTTCGATCCCTCCAGGTGCCGGTGGTTTATTTCATTGATCCAACGAGGGATAATATCGATCGTCTGGTCAATGATTGCTGCGTTACGAAGTTGTATGACCAGGTGGGCCGATTTGTCAACCGGAAGGTCCCGGGTTCAAATCTCGGTGACAGGTTTATGTTAATTTCACTTCGAGAGTGTCCGACGATCTGTTGAAGTATATGGCGGGGTCTATGCTGGAGAAATCAAAGGGGAAGTGAGTCTATCACTTCATACTGGTCTCGGCAAAGGAATTGTCTCTACCACACTTTAATTTTCGATGGTCTCTCTGAGACGCTTGGGTGTAGTTCACGGCAAGCATCATCTCCAGTGGGGTATCTGTTGAAGACGCTTGACGGGCCCACTGGCTTGAGTGCTCTGTGGAATGCTTCTCTTTCTTGCAGTCCTCGAAACATCAATCGGATCGCGAAGGTGGTTGATCGCTATTGTGCTTTTGTCGCACTATCGCCCTCGACGTTCTCTCTCAATATGCCAGGGGTAAGGGGAGGGTTGGGGGGATGCAACTAGACTCGTTATGAATGTCGTTAGCAAAGCATTCGGTCCTCGTAGTGTGCACTATGTCGTAGGTGTATAGCAAGTTGCACTCTAAGCGAGTGACTGACGAGGCTATTGAGGAGTGTATCGATCGCATTGTCAACGGTCTTCTAAGTATGTTGGTGACGATTCGTCAGGTGAGTTGGTGTAATGGGTGAGCTTATGGTCATTCTTCTGGAGGCTGTGGGTTCGTTCCCTTGTAACGTTGTTTTATCGCAGCCTTCAGATACCCATCATCAGAGCTCCCCCCGAGTCTCAGTCAGGCCCCAGCACCATGGTGGCCGAACGACTTCACTCACGCCTAATGGAGATGCTCCAGAGCGGCAACCAACAAGTCGGTTCTCGTACTATCATCTTGATCGTTTCTGGCATCGACTGCACGATCGCCTCCATACCCTAACTCTCAGACCCAGGAGCTCTTCAGTACCGCTACAGGTGTGGAAAGGCCTGTGCTCATCCTGCTGGACCGGGACATGGACTTGGCAACGATGCTCCATCACACTTGGACATACCAGGTGTCTCTAGCTGATAACATTCCCTCTTCGAATGCTATGTCTGGCAGGCCCTCGCGCATGATCTGTTCGATCTAAACCTCAACACAGTGAAGATTCCTATTGATGACGGAGATGCTGGAAGCCAAAGCAGCGGGTCCCACGGAGTAACTCTGATACGCTATAAGACCTTTCGATGGGGTTACTGTCAGGGTAGTGGAAGTCACAAGACATACGATTTGGATTCATCTGACGCCTTCTTCGTGGACCACGCGAACATGCCATTTCCGGCGGTTGCGAGTGATGTGAGTGCACAGGTAGTAGGCGAAAGTGATATCGATCACGCGATCGATTTTGGTTGATTTATAGTTACAAGAGTATAACAAGAAACTACAGGAAGTGCGGTCCAAAGAAGGCGGTGCTGGGTAGGCATGGTCTTGCACAGTTCTTCAGTCAGTCACTGCCGTTGCCGCCTATAGGAAGCTGTCGTCGGCTATCAATGCCCTCCCTCAAATGACCGAGATGAAGCGCTCTCTGGACGAGCATACGAACATAGCTAGTGCTATGCTGAAGGAGATCCAACTGAGGGAAATTAACAAGTAAGGGTATTAGCTGTTGATCGTCGAGGCGGACACTATGGGTAGATATTATGAGGCGGAGTCGGGGTTCGGGTCGCAGGGGAGGACGACGGGACTGACGGCGTTGATGGAGAGACTGAGCTCAGAGGCTAGGGGGACTCCTATTGGTGGGAGATGCCGCTGCCAGGGATCGAACTTGGGACCAATCGTTGTCAGATAAACTCCGTGCAGCGCTGGTGTTTGTATTGCGGAAACCCACTTTAACAGTTGAGCAGACTGATGCAATATGTGCTCGGTTGAAGGAAATCGGCGCCGACTCAGCTGCAGTGGAGTTCATTCGAGTACGTCGATGGGAGTTCGTTGGTCGCTGATGACGATGAGAATCTCAGAGCCTCCAGTCGATGCGTCGGCTCACGTTGGACACGACTGCTATTGTGGAAGACCAAGTGCAACAGAAAGAGCCACAACAGGCTTCCTTCGTTGGAACTGAGTGAGTTGATTCTGTTCATAGAACATTGTGACTGTTGCTGTTTTCAGCGTTGCCAGTGGGTTCGCGACGTTCGCGAATAAATTTGCAAGTCAGATGCAGCAGCATGGCGAAGGTCTGCTCACTGGTGGGTCTCGACTAAGGCTCGTCTGCTGAGCTCACTCGAATTCTTGTTGTCAGGGTTAAAGAATTTAAAGAATCTTCTGCCGATGCGAGAAGATACATTGATAACGCGAATAGTGTCCGAATTGATGGAACAGAGCGAAGACGGGAAGAGCAAGCTTGCTCAGGACTATGAGTATTTCGATCCAAGGGCTAGCACTGTAGGCCTATACTCATTTTTGTCTTAGCACTGATGTTCTTCCCCTCTGTAGTTGGCGGGCGAATCTCGTAGTCGACATATACCCCGTGTGAGAGGATCATTTCATCAAGCCATAGTGTTTATGGTTGGTGGTGGGAACTATATCGAGCAGCATACACTGTCGGAGTGGGCCAGCTCGAGTCGATCTCGAGACGTCACTGGTCAGGCAAAGTGAGCTATGCCGAGTATTCAAACTCTGCGTAATTTGTCCTCTCAGATCTGTGATCTACGGCGCTACCGATTTCGTGTCCCCATCGGCCTTCTGCAAAGAGTTGGAGACACTGGGTATGGAGAAATGAGCGCCCTCCATATAGCTGGAAGGCTCTACCCATTTCATTGTTACTCATAGTGAGTTTCACTGCCTGTAACATAAGCATTTTCGTTAATTCTAATCGGGGGGGACAGAACTTGACTATCGCTACCAGGCTACGGTATCCCACCACTGGGGATGTGTACCGCTTGCCACCGTATACCGGATGAGCTTGATCGCTGTGACTGCCTTGAATGGGGTAGGTTCGAAGCTTGGCACGCGACATAGAGACGAGCCCGAACCAGCCCCTCCTTCGAAAAGGACAGCCATTTTTCGGTCGCATTAGAAAATACGTTGCAGGCTCCTCCTCTGAGAACGAATTTTCTATTGTGCTAAGCTGTCGTGATGACGAGAAGTTTGATGATGACTCCCAGGGAAGCAGAGACGTGTTCAACACATTATGCTGATCGTTGTGTTTTTGGCAACCATGTTTCCCAGGCAAGAGTGGATAATACAACTCGTGCGATGCGTGGTTTCGACATCCCAATACTCAACGCAACATGAAAATCTTGATAGCTGTCACGTTTGAGCCATGCAACATCAAACTCGCTGGGCGATTCTCTCTCTACAGACGAACACCCGGAACAGCAATAGCAAAAATCAGTGTCTCCGAGTCACAGCTACTCGGACGTGAATCTGCCATAAATACCGTGGAGGACTGTCTTCAACAACAAGAAGAGAAAATGCCCTACTCGAGAGAAGGCGTATGGTCGAATGGCTCGGCACTTGAGTTTCTGATATGACACCATCGAATGAGTAATGTGATATCACAAGACCTACTTAGGATCATGAGATTGGTAAATGTCAAGTTCGATAAAATATCTCACGAACTCCAACAGAGTAATCTGATGGGAAACCAGGAGCATTCCGAGGATATGTTCCGACATGACTCACATGAACGTTCTCTTGCTCGCGAGTCAGATCATCCCGAACATAGACATTATCGTTTTCTCTGAGGGGAAATATAATGCGGTTAATGGCTGGAGGCTGAGCCCATCCTGAGATGATGAATTATCACTTACATAGCTGTGACCAACATGACAGCTTCTGCTAGAGGGGAATGGACATCATGACCACTACGGTCTGAGGCAAAGTCACTTCGCTGATCGATTCGACCCAAGCGGCAAGGTTGACCATGTGGGCAGCAGCATTTTCAACTGAGTATAATCTAATCACCTTTCACTTCTAAGAGCCGCCTGCCACTGCTAACATTCGTCTTATGCCTAGCAATGACGTGCTCTCGAGGATGGACCACTTTGAATTCTTCGAGAAGGTCACGGACATCCTCAGGAGTAAGCACGGTCTCACCTATATAGAGTTTTAGAAAAATCAGCAGTGCAGCATAATACTTGCAGATGCGGAGTCCTCTATAGTTCGGGAAGCCAATGCCCTACGTATAGTAGCAGAAAACTCCTCCTCGTTAATCACACTGTTCATGGCCACCCGCAATGCGATCATAATTATGCAGAACTCGTGGAACCCCAACTAACAGAAGATTTTTCCCGGAGATTTCCCTGCAGGCCTACTTCGCCCGAGTCAGGGGCCGTGGACATCTCCATCCACGATAGGAAGAGACTGGTGGCTTGACTGGTGACACCAGCAGCGGCGAGGGTTGACCTGATCGCAGCCAGTGAGACTGGTTGATATCATAAGGCCAAAATCCTCAGAGTCGTGCATGGCTCGAGGACTCGGGTGGATCTCACCGAATATTCTTCCCCGTATGAACGCCTCTTCTCTCGGCAAAGAATCGTTTCCACATCTTCATATAGAGAGCCTTCGTGTGCGGAGATGACCTCCCATAAATCGTTCGCAACTTCTCCCTAATACGGTTCCTGATAGGATGCACATCGATTAGAATTGTGCAAGGTGTGGTACGCTGGCTACTTCCTACCGTTGAGGATCTGGTGCCTCTGTGAGAAGATAGTGCATGCTCAGCAACTTCACGTTATGGAGGAAGTGAAGGCATCTAACCAGCGGTCGTTCTCCCAATCAGCCCATCATTCAACCCACAGTTCGCATCGTTGAGCTTCCAACATTTTCTTTACTTTCATCACGACGTGTAGTCGCTTCATTTGGCACACGCTAGTGCTGATAACGAGTCTTTCCAAGGCACTTGGTAAAAGGTCTATTATTATGATGAGTATCGGAAGTGCACCGACAGGCAAGAGGAACCTGCGAGGCTAGGCTAGAGGCGATGCTTCATCGTAGTGCATCACCAACCAGTGCTTTCGCCAGCGTTTAATAGTGAAATCAACTAGTCGGAAAATGAGGCAACCCGAATACAACGCGGTGGCGAAACACACAACTTGCAGAGCTTTTGAAGTGAACGCTGGGCCTAGGGGGAAAACGCTAATAATGACAGCCACGCATGGATTCGTTCATACCGTTTTTCTGTAAGAAAAATACATTTTCGTGCATTGTGGGGACCGTAGTTCCTCTGAGTAAACTCATAAACCTACAGTGTCGCCATCGGAGAGCAGATGGTATGGTCACTGACCTTCCGTTAGCTTTGAAATGATTTCTATCAGATAAATAGAGTGCCTCTGAATGCAAGTGTTCGATCGACCTCGGGCTCATCATGGGGTCTTTAGTGACAACTTCGAACATTTTTTCTGAACACAAGCAATAGCTTCTTTTTCGAACCTCATTCTACGCCGGAGCCAACTCTGTGTGCAGGGACAGTAAAATTCGCAAGTTCGGATTCTGAGAGTTCCTTACCATAAGTAGGTTTCAAGGAGTCTACCACTCTCGATAGGTCCCTCCTGATTATGATCACCAATAACAACAACATCCATGGTAACTAAAGTACGGCGCTGAGACCCCATAATTTTCAACTTATGAGTGCTTACAGCACACATGAGTATAATGCCTTTTAGTCCTCGCATTTTCGCCAAGAGATACATCGGAATGAAGACTACACCTGATCGAAAATTGTTCACTTCAACAGAGTAGATGAAAGCCCAACCGAGTAAAATAAGAGTTCCTGCATCTAGTTGAATCTGTCCAGTGCAGCTCTCGGCCAGGCAATGTTCCATATAACTGCTAGCACTCATCTGCCCGGGCTAACACGGGTCAGTTGGACTCACATGAGGAAGTCAAAACCGTCTTGGCGTTTGGCAACTACTCTTGAACTCGTTATGGGGGAAAAGAATTCAGTACGGAAGTAGAGATAGCTGAGGTCAATATCGAGCAGTTGTGGCTGAGTATTGATGGAATTACTCTATCATTCTGGACTGCTCCGTTCGTGATCGTGATATTGTAGACCAACAAGACCCTGAGAAAGGTTTTCATACTCATATGGTCAGTGAACATTCGAGTAGAGTATATATGTATAATGAGGCATTCTATGTATGGATGGATGTAGTATCGAACATGTATAATGAGGCACTTTAGCAGAATCATAGAAGTTGCGAATTCTTAAGCACTACTAAGAGAGGCTCGACTCTCGCGAATGCCGTTTTAATGAACATCTACGATTCCATATCATTCGTACAAGTCAGTAGTTACCCCGGATTCAGCGCACAGTCGTTCTCGCGAACGTATTCAACACTGCGTTGCTTTACACATAGCACTTAATTCATATTTGGGTCAATTACTTAGCCATTGAGAGACAGTTGAAGGCTTATGTAGAGACATATATCAAGTGCAGGGACGTATCTTCGTTCCAGGGCGAGCTTACTCGAGGTTGACGCGTCAAAATGCTCTTTCACTAGCATCACAAAATCACTCTTTTCAGCTGCATTCCATGTCCGAGGTGGAAACAACTAGTCATTAATTATTCCTAATCTCAAAACTCTTACCATGTTTGAGAACGCTGAGGGTGAATGCCGCGCATACAACGATGAAACCAATCATAAGATAGAAAATCGAGAAGTGCATCGCCTCGAAAATCAACTGATCATAAGAATCTACCACAGGTGCGGTATAAGAATACGGTACTGTGAGATGAGACAAGCAATGGGGACCGTGATGTTCCTGAGGATTGCCATGGAGGTTCTCTTCCACCCAAGCTGCGTACTTGTGAGGGCCGTACATTACCCAAATATGGTCACCGAAAATCTGTCATCAACAATTCAATTCGATCAGCTGAGACCTCCCTTACATGGTCACTGATTGGTCCCAGGGCCTGCAGTCGGCTCTCCAGAACTCCGAAGAGCAACGCCACAAATCCTAGTGTTGCGAATTCGCTGTTAACCTATGGCCACATTTGGAGTCACAGCACGCCCTGTGGTACTTACAGAATTAATGATTCTCACTAGAATGTGGTTTGATCGCTTTTCCGCGAGGTTGATCAGCGACCTAGAATGTGCATCAATAGATGCGACCCTTCGCAGTTCTTTCGCGCCTAGGCGCTATTCTACTCGAGGGCTAGCAATACAGCTCTACACAGATCAGTCAATAGCAATACACTAGCCAAGGGGCAGAGCAATCTAGAGATTACTAATGACTGTGTATTGGGGTAGTGCACTTACTCTTTCGCGGCATCAAAAACTATCGTCAATGTGATTATTGTGATTATGACGGCGACTTCAACAACATGCTCTCTTCTTTTTAGCTCAACCCAGGCTTCCATTTCTTCGGGACAGCACGTCTGAGATATTGTGGTTCATCCTGAAGACAGCAGTGGAAGACCATCTCACATTGACAGACTTTTCGTAGTCCCAAACATCGTAGTGACACTCGTGAATGCTGCGATGAGGATGAGAGCAACTTGCAATTGATGGTGTTTGCCCCACGGCAGGGCTAGGGGAACAAATGGAGATTAATAAGCAGGCATACACGAGGAGACAGAGCATTGATAACTGTATAGTTCGAGTATTATTTTTTTGCCAACAAGTTTACTTTTTTACGCATTCGGTTAATGTTTTACCTTTTTCGCCAACATTTCACCCATGAAAACAACGAATCATAAGTTAGACTTGTCGGTAGAGGATTAATTTGATCTCGAAATGCGGTGATGCCTTGTGTCAACTTCCGTTCGGTCCTCACAGTTTCACGAGAACGATCTTTGAGGGACCAAGTACAATGCATGCGAACTTGATATGCAAATGTGTGTTATTTTCCGAGATTCATGAAAATCAATTTGAAACTATATATTGCATATCTAATGTAACGATGGTCATATACCAGGTTGGGACTGCGGTAGCGACAAGTTGTTCACTAAAATTTGTCCTCTAAAATAACACTCATTTGCATATCAATTTGATACGTACTGCAGATGGATTTCAGACCACGAGCTGAGAATGTCTCGCCTGTGCCAAGATGGTGACAATTATGAGGCACGTGGGAAAGCCAAAGTTTCCAGCAATAATAAACAGCTCCCTAGCGAGTAGGAATAGGATATTGTTAGGAATATTGTTAGACTCAGAAGATCAATACTGGTACACCCAGGTTCGATTCCCAGCTAGAACACGTGTCGAGAAACATTCACAGAATTGACAACACGACCAACAAGTTGCCAACAGAAACGTTCATCACATCATGGATTGATTTTCCCACCAGGCCAGAATCCCCTCGCGTTATTAATCACAGGCGTCTGTCGAGAGACGTAAGGCTTCAACTAAAGCAACAACTTTGCCTCACTATTTCCGTGACCGCGCGCCACGAAATTAACGCCTACCGGGCAATCAGTCAGGTCGGGGACTTTGAACTGAGGGACGAATCTCGGGTCGATCATGAAGAAACCTGACAGTCATGAAGCCGTCCACCTACCACACTGGTGGACTTACCTTTCTTAGTGTGTGTTCCAAGTCCGATGCTACCAAACCCTTTCCGAAGACTCGGCGCTCTCTTGGCAGTCAATGGTCCTCGTCCCTGAGAAATCAATCCAACGAGAAAACAGATGTGACAGTTACCTTTGATGGGCCCAGTTTGGAGAGGAGGACGTTCGACCGACGAAGAGGCATAAAGGTGAGAAAGAGCTTGAAAATGTTCCGTCACTGCGCCACAAAAACCCAAGACTTTGATGTGTGTTGTCTACTTATCATCATGATCATCATAACTAATTCACCACATGGGACGAGGGTCTCTTCAAGCGGCCATCACCAATGCCGCATTGGAAGCCGCTGCTGCCGGGAGGATTCGGAAGAAATATCTACACCGTTACGATAACAATGGCAACATTGAATTTTCTCAGCCAAAATTTGAACAAGAAATCTCTTGCTTTCCCATTAGGGAATTATACCGCGTGATTGCATATATTCCAGAGCATATATCATCGTAGCTCGTGAGCTCACGATAGAGCCAGAGTCGTTGAATTGAAGACAGTCGTGGCACTGTGGGCCGCACTGGAAGTGTATCTCCCCCATAGAGGAAGACAAAATGCCTTATACTGGACTTACTCGACTTCCAGCTGACCGTCCTCTTCAAGATCCGTACAGTGTACAGCATTCTTCACTCTATCGATGCCAAAGGCGGCTCTCAGTGTGCCTGGGTACCACCGGTCAACTGTGGTATGAGAGGATATACCTCTACCTGGCCTGAGGGCCTTGGCGATTTGAGGATCATGGGGCCCTACGAACTTTCTGAAGGCTTCCACAGCAGACTCTTGCCGTATCTACACGCCCGATGCATACACATCAGAGAGAAGGGCTAATGACCTCAAGGGCCAGTGAGGGACCGCCACAGAGATCGTTCACCTGCATCGTGTACTCGGGGAGGACTCCACTATAGACCTGATGAGCTACATACTTGCGGTTACGATAGATGAATTTTGCGCCAGCGGTCTTGGAACAGATCACAGTCACGTGAACCGCTGCAACGAAACGTGCCCAGCTCGAATCCGACGGCATATATGCTATAAGCTTGGAAGCCACGAATAGGGAGTTCCAGCTCAGTTCTGGGACGAGTGCGTCTTACCTCGAGGAACTCCTCAGATGAACGCTTGTCCAAGGTACACCAGCGCATAGCAGCAATTTCGAAACTGAAAAAGCGATCTCGGTAGGACTCGAACCCACAATCTTTGGTTCCGAAGACCAACGCCTTATCCATTAGGCCACGAGACCATATAATCAACAACGAATGTGCCTCTCTGGTTCTTAACCCTCTCACCCGTTATCCAGAACCCTCTGTACTATTTCTCCAACTTGTGGTGTATTCGCAACCTGATCGAGTGAGACCATTCCATGCGAGTTCACTAGCAACACTCACATGTGGCCTGATGACGCAACAAGTGCAGTTGTTGAAGATCGCAGTCTCCTCAGCCGGGGAGTTGCTGCCTGAATAACAAACGGCATCAAAAGGGAGCAGCTTCCACTCGCTTGAAAGTACCAAAGAAGAAATCAATCTCTCGAGTAGCGTTCTCGGCTGAGTCACTGCCATGCACTGCGTTTCGAGTGGCATCAGTTCCGAATCTGAGCCAAGTGATAAAGGGATGATGCTCATCGTAAAGGCTAGCCCTAATGTGATAGGGTGCTACAATAAACAGCATGAGCCGAAGGTAACTAAATCTCATTCAACACCCACAGACACCCACAGCATTCCCACATAATTTCCCGACCGGTGGACCCTATAGAGACGCAGGGATTTGAGGAGACGCTACCTCGGGCGTAGATCTCCTTCAACCAGCTGCCTCCATTTGGTCACAGCGCCATCCCCCCACAGTTCTATTGCCACAACAGCATCGGATGTAACGAATCTGAGGGGAGTATTGACCAATCGCGAACGCCTAATGGGAATAATCTGGGGAACCTGGGAAGGTGCGCCGTCGAGTCGGAGAAATGTAATCCAATGCAAATGGCACATGATATTAGTCGTGATACGACTGCTAGTTCTTCTTGTAGTACTATTATACATGATTTATTAATAAAAAACTAATATCGATGAAATGATGGTTCCTATGAACGAATACTCCTTCAGACGCCGTCCGACCACTCGACGATCATATCCAACTGCGCACTGTAGACATTTAGATTGCAGATATGCATTGGCTGGCAAACGATAACAGTCCCGTGACCGCTATCTCAACGGATACGGAGGTTCCCAAGAGTGGCTCTCACCTGATCAAATCATCAAAAAAGCTCTTCCCCTTATGGTCACGATAGAACTCCTCCGCGGCCCGACGGTCTAGCTTGCACATTCGGAGGTTCTTGATGACAAACCTAGTGGGGAGAAAAACCAACTTCGCCACCTCTCGAGAGGAGCTTCTCCCCCCACCCAGCCTTCACGATAGCAGTCAATATCTCCCCTATATGGTTGTAAGCATCTGGCTTGATCATGGCCAGTGTGCGTCCCTTCAAAGTCTCCAGCTTGGTTCGAGTGAACTACACAAGGCGACACAACCCCTAACGTGTTGAAAAAACCAACGCTGAATCCTGCCACGGCTTGGTGCTCGACGGTAATACCTCATCCGCGTATTCCACGATCTTCAACTGCCTGGAGTACACGGTAATCGTAGAACCGATGGAAAGGTCCTCCGCAGTTACCCCTGGGAACTCGCAGCGCTTGAGGAACGCTGAATGGCATGGATGTAGGGACGGAGGTGCCACAACTTTCAACGATATGAGCGGCCCACTCGAACCTACGGCGACGATTTTTGATGTCGTACATTTCCAAGGTGCCATCGCGAAGGAAGTATCTGAACAAGATGGAAGCCGATCCGTTGCAGCCTCTGGTGTGGTTTATAATAGGTAGCTGACGAGGAGGGACACACTAACAAAATGGTCGATGCAGGGCTCGAACCTGCGACCCTCGCGTTATTAGCACGATGCTCTAACCGACTGAGCTAAACGACCTGTTGAACTGCAACCAACACCAACTTCAAGCAGCGATCATTTACTCAATATTCCACAGCAACACTACTTCCACTCACGCAATACATTGATTTGCGTCGAAGGACTCATCAGCTACACGCTACTCACGCGAATGCACGCGCATGCCCTAAGCAGGTTCAGTCGATGACTGGAAATATCAATCCTAATCTAATCCCCCCTCAAGCATGCACCAGCGCCGTCCGGACTGGCACATACTGACGACCAACCCGATGCTATCCGTTGCCACCCATCATTACGTCAGTTGATACCGCCTGAACAGTTCGGCAGTCTGATCGTACCACTCAACGAAGAAGGTGTATCGATCTTCATTGGCGTTCGTCCGCACCATATTACCGAGATTAAAGGAATAACCTGCAGCCTTCAAGACTCGATCTCACTTAGTCTACACCCCAGCCTCGGGAACATTCTCCCGCATACGGACCCGAGTCTTTTCAGTAACGCGACCGAAGCCGTATCGCTTAAGGGTGACACCAACCATATCGTGTCACGCCCGAAGTCGTCCCATCCTCATCGTTCATCACATTCAAACAGCCAGTCTTATGTCACATTCATCACACAAGGACTTTAGAACCCCCTCCAATGCTCACGACAAACCACACCGCAGACACGTCTTGAAGAAACTCGATTTCGGAAGTCCAAAATGAAACATAAATTAAAACAATGATATGCACGATCAAAGCACTTTAAGACCCGCAATTTGCGGAGGGACCTCATGGAAGGCTTCTTCTGGCAGCTCTTCAACATCCCCATCCATCGAGACACCGCCTTCCCGCACGTGCCAGACCATCGCACTCGCGTCACGACCGTAGCCCGTACTGACCTACACCCAATACTATTCGAGGGTAACCGGCAGTAGTAAGATGCACCAGAGGCCTACCAGGACCTCCCCCGTTGAGTTACAGGAAATGCTCGATATCGGGCAAGTGTGGCCCACGGGCGACTTCCCCACTGCTCTACCCGACTTCAAAACAACAGCGTATACACGCCGGTCAAGACCCGGCATGTACATCACTGGACTATCACTTGATTCTGACCGGAGTGAAAAATCACGATCGACACAGCGGAGCGAAGCACATCAATTCTAGAGTATATTACGTTCTCTCCCAAGTATGCTAATGCACGGCCGGCAGAAGTTCTTTATTTTTTCTCCATCGCTGGTGGAAGGCGCTTTGGTTGATGTAGACTCAGGCGACCCCTGCACGGACTGCGATCGACTACTAGCTGCAAACTGAAAGAGACGTCGGCATATCTATTTGACGATAATTCTATCAGTTATGTCTTCCCACCTCATTGGCGACCGACTTCACACCCGGCTGCTCTATGCCATGGAGCCACCTAAAGTAAGTGTCTCACATTCCACAGCTGAGCCCTCACCCCAACACACAGGACGGGAGCAGTACCTCATAGAGCGATGAGACCTCAGATCCCACACTCGTGCAAGACCGTCAGAATACAGACCCGCGATGTAAACAGGAACTGACCTGTGGAGGCATTCGACCAACCATCACCCTCAGGCGTCCTTACTTATCCCTGATATCACTCGAGGCAATCGTCGCTCCCATGCACTCAGTACCACTAGCACCAGCGCCGAGAGTCCGCAAACAGTCGACGGACCAGGAGGACCACAGTCGGATATTCCCATCCAGTCCTGCGGTGACCTGTTAGAGCTTGTGGGCAGTGAGTGTTGGAGTCCCTAGTACTATGACGGAGTCGTCCTGAGCATGTTGAACGGAGGATAAGGGGCTGTGGGAGGCGATGGCCTCGATGTGGGGTTTGTTCTGGTCCGAGGGATAGTGGCTGGAGAGGGAGGCAACTGTGCAAGAGAGGGTTAGTTGTAAATGCAGCGGCCACGAATCGAACCGACAACCGCCGGATTCGCAACAACACCCTCATCCCACTAGACCATAACGTCGCATTATACTCACATTGTCGAACGTCCCACAAGGAGAGGACTCCTCGACTGTCACCAGTGGCCAAGGAGCACGAGTTGGGGGACTTCCCCAATGACACACAATACGTTGGATCATCACATTTGGCGGACCCCACTGACGTGCCTGACCACCAACAGCATCGCCAACTACAGCAACTATGGTAATGGCCTGTCAAGCACGTCTAGCCCACACCGGCCTTGTACAGTGTACGTAGTCACACAGAAACGGGTATGGTTGCGCGATGTACTCGATTTACGGTATAGAGATGGCTTGAGAGAGACTGACCCGTCCTCGTATCCCATAGGTAGAGGGCTCCTCCTTCACAAGCAGTGACGAGCCAATTGCCACTGCCATGCCACGCACAGTCCGTTAGAGACTGAGTGTGGGAACCACCTAGAGTCGAGATCAATCTGAGAAAGGCGTATCTTAAGGTTGAGCGTGCAAGATACGAAACAGGCCCAATTGCAGTGCATTGTTGAGGCGGCCCATCACCTTCCTTCGGCAAGATCCCATATCTTCACGGAAGTGTCAGCGCTGGCTGTTGCTAATTTGTCGTGGGTGTTGAAGGTCCCTCGGACAACACATGCCTCATGACCAGTCAAGCGGCAGGCGGGATCCAACCGCATTGTCTTCGTGAGAAGCTCAAATGGAGATTTCCGACGATTACGCTCCGTGAAAATTCCGACCCTGATACGGAATAAATGACGCACGATTATGCGACATACGCATGGGAACCGTTGTTGTCGTGGACTTCTGGAATACTTCCCCCCAAACGAGGGGGGAGGCCTCGCCCTAAAGATGTTCGTGCATTCACGTTTAATTCGATTGGAAAATCGTTATGTGGCTGCACCCAGCGATGTAGCAGCAGTCTCCTTATGTTGGTCCCCTCGTGTTTAGCCACGACTTATGCTCCTCTCAGCAGTACCCTTGAACGTTTTGTCTACAAAATTCTGTTATTGATCATCCATGTCCCAAGCAACGAATCGGAAGCATACGGACTTCGCTAGATTGTAGGCTGCCAACTGGATCAGCCCAGCTCCACTCCTGCTCAGGATGCGAGCCGGCTATGAAGTTGATGTCGATCCGGAGTCGAAGAACGTCACACAGGACTTCTCGGTGCTCTTTTACGCACCTGCCGAATGTAAGAGGCTTGTGACCCTTCTCCCACGGGAGTTGATGCCTGCCAGCGCCGTACAAGGGTGGGGTATTCCGAATACACGTAGAGTTACCGGAGCAGTACCCATTTCAGAGTCCGAGTATAGGTTTCAAGAACAGGTCGGAATACGATCACTTCAATGAAGACTGCTGATGTGCTTCAGGATTTACCACCCAAATATAGACGAGCGGAGCGGCTCGGTGTGCTTGGATGTTATAAATCAAACCTGGACTCCCTTGTACTCTCTTGTCAACATATTCGACGTCTTCTTGCCACAATTGTTAGCGTAAGACGTGTAGGAAGGGTATGGGAGATGACTACCTGGTGGTGGCAGATACCCAAACCCGTCGGATCCATTGAACCCGGAAGCGGCTGCCCTTATGCTCAGAGATAAGACGGCCTATGACTACAAGTGCCAAGGTGAGTATTGCGTGCCTTGTGGGAAACTGTTGAAGTATCATCGTCGTTGAAATTCCCTGCTGTAGCACGCCTGTTTGGTGGCGTACGAGAGATGGAATGATAGTTATTACAAAGGCGCTTATTATGAGGAAGTATTACCCGCTCTTAGAGTACGTAAGATTGTACGCGACAGCAGCTGCACTAGAAGCAGTCGTAGCTGCTGGTAAAGAGGATGCCACTGCTGATGACATCATGGATGATACTGCTGAGGTTGGGGGTTGCACTCCGCCCTTGAGGATGGTAATTATCCTACTGTTCCTTATTGGAATAATGCTACACGACTTAACATTGTTATCAGGCCGCGGGGTCATGCTGTAGTACAATCTCCTCGTCAACGGCGGTCTCTAGTCCATCAGCGCTCACCCCAATAGTGCGGGAACGAGGAGCTGCTCAGAAATGCTGTAGTGTGGAGCTACGATTTGTTCTCATTGTGTACATGTCTGGCGCATTGTCAGATCCGGCGGCTCGAGAATTCTGTGGAGGCCCTAAGACTAGCAGTAGGGACATCGGTTCTGAAGTCGATGATGACGATGACGTGCTGAGGGATATGACTGATGACGAGATGACGGGCAGTGAATTATCAGCTTTGGAACTTGACTGCGTGGATGAGCTGGATCTAGACGGTTTGTAGCCGTCGCTGGATGCCACGGTGTGAGTTGAAGGACAATGGGAAGGAGCGAGGTGGTCGTGTTAGGTATACTTGCATGCGTATGTAGAAGCATCTATCCTGAATTCTGTACTCTTGTTATTATCATCGTTGCTGCTGCTGCTGCTCCTGCTGAGGCAGGGGAAATTTGTCGTCAAGTGCGGGATGTGAGTTGGGAGGTTGGGAGCTGGGAAGAGTAGTCGTAGCTGAATTTCTGTATCATGGACTACTCGAGCTCGGTTCAAAGGGATTGTAGTAAGCCGAATGTGATGAGTGTGTATGGCAAAAGGTCACCGGTAGTGGAATTAAGGGCGCGCCCGGATTTGAACCGAGGACCTGCTGATCTGCAGTCAGCCGCTCTAGTACTGAGCTACACACCCTCAATGTATTTTGATTGTTCATGCATTGCTACTTTTCTCACACATCAGCAGAAGCGATCGAGATTCTTCCTTCGGGTCAGGTGCCGCACGGAAGGAGACCGTCAGCAAATTCTGTTATTGTTTGAACATTTCTGATGCACGAGGACCGCCTCTCCCCGGTGTGTGCTCATCTCGTATACGACGTGTATATTTATTCAACCTCTTTTTGGGGTAACGCTGTAGTTGGTATATGTCATTGTAGAATTACTTTATCCAAGTAACTAAGCGGTGTGCTATTGTAAACGCTTGCGCTTGCAGTTGCCAATGGCGTCAGGTGTACGCAACATTGCAAAATCGGTCCGTGGTCACTCTGCTAATTCTTCTATTGATTCATTATCGCGTGGCGTGGCGAAATCGATGGGGATTGAGGAGAGTTCTGATTGTCATTTTTTATGAATTTTTTATCCCAATACGATTGGTTGCTGAGCGCAATTTATCAAAGTGTCGATGCGTTGCTTGTATGCGAATTTCTGTACTTGCATCTCCGTGATTTCTTTCTTATGCTGCTTGACTGCAGTCAGCTATATGTCACTATGGCGCTAGAGGTGAGTTGAGGCTTCCTCCTGGTGATGATTTTGTGATCGAAACATTGTTGGAATATATGTTTGCTTTCCTCAGCTGAGTTTTAGGTGTAACTGTACAGAAACCGATGAGAATTCCCTCGTTTTTCATCGGAATTTCCGCAAATGTCATCTACGCATGTAGTTGACCATGTGCATATTCTCCCACACCAGACTGAAATATCGTCAGTGTAACCATCGCTAGTTGAGTTGACTTTCCCTCAGGCGCCTTGGTTGTGACCAGATGTGTGACGAAGTAGTCTGTGCATGATGACAATAGCTGCCAGTCTGAATACGCACTACTGAGTATCGATTCAACCCTAGATACTTCCACCCACACTCTATAGTTGTGTTATAGCAGTCGGGAGGTGAACAGTGGACTCAGAACTCAATGCATGGAGCACTTGCTTTATGACAACCTCTGGCTCGACTTCGTGGCGGCGGCAGTCGAGTTTCCGGACAACATCGCCCTACGATGTAACGCTGCTGTCTTCACTTATCAGCAGCTTCGCCGCGTGGTGGAGGTCCGGGCGGCCGTATTGTCACGCCAGTACGGTTTGGTGTCGGGTTCGAGAGTGCTCCTACTCCTACAACGAGGAGTGTCTTTCGTCGTCACTGCCCTAGCGCTGTGGAAACTCGACTGCACTATGATCCCCCTCGATGCTGACCTCACCCCAGATAGTAGAGCGCAACAAGTGGCTGAGGAGGGTGACTGTGACCTTTTGATAGTCACCACTGGTCGGAGTACCATTGACTTGTCATCGGTCAACGGCAGAGTCGTTGGGATCGACGAGCTCGACCGGTTGGAAGATTCTCAGGCTATTGAAAAGGAGTGTGATGAGAGGTCAGCACCAGCGTACATAATGTTCACGAGTGGCTCGTCTGGTCGGCCTAAGGGTGTAGTGGTGTCCCACACTAGTGTCGTCAATGTGTTAGAGCACTTCGCTGCTGAGCTCGGACCAGACTGGCGTCGGCTGCTGGCGGTGACCACCTTCCAGTTCGACATCTCCGTATTGGAGTATATGCTGCCACTCACGACGGGAAGGCAGTGCATCATCGCTGACACCGAGACGTGTAGGAGTGCACCTAAGATACTCAACATGCTCATTGAGGACTCCATTGACTTGATGCAGGCTACCCCTACGATGTGGCAACTGTTGGTAGCTGCTGGGCTGTTGGAGAGAGCCATGGGGCTCAACAGTGGACTGCAGATCCTCTGTGGGGGCGAGCCCTTCCCAGCCCATCTAAGGTGCCTCTGTGACGTTGCCTCGAAGGTCCTCAACTGCTACGGCCCCACCGAGACTACTATCTGGTCGAGCACGTACCAAGTGTTGCCAGATGAGGATGGGCCTGTGCCTATCGGTCGTCCTATTCGGAACACTACTTTCAAAATCAGTGCTGATGGTGAGCTTATCATTGGTGGCGCGGGGGTGGCCCTGGGGTACTTCAGACGCCCCAAGGGGTCGGCTGGTGGTTTTTGTGTGGATGGTTGGTATGCTACTGGCGATCGAGTCAGGTTGGATCCTCATCGCGGTGGTGACTACGTATACTTGGGCAGGTTGGACGACTCCCAGGTGAAGGTGCGAGGGTACCGTATCGAACTAGGGGAAGTTGAGAAGGTCCTCAAAGAGCAGCTAGCTGAGACCAGTCAGTGTGCGGTAGTGCCCTATAGGGACCATCTGGCCGCATTCATAACGGCGGACCCCTCACACATCGACGTGGTCAGTCTCCGTCGAGAGCTGTCGAGGACATTGCCACCGTATATGATACCAACATGGTTCACATCGTTACCATCCTTGCCAGTTACGGCCAACGGCAAGTTGGATCGGAGAGCCTTGTCAGCCTACTCCGTCACCAAGGGTCGGAGGCGACCACAAATGCCCACCAGCCCGCGAGGACGCATACGGAAATGCGTGAGTGAAGTGCTCGGGTTCGAGGTGCTTGACGACGCCTCGCTGGCCAGTCAAGGAGTCACTTCCCTCCTGGCTGTGGTTCTGGTTGAGAGCCTTTCCGAAGCGTTGGGAGTGGTCGTTGATGTTGAGCACGTCTTTGCGCATGCCCGAGCCGACTCTTTCTTTGGCTACATAGAGGAGCTGGCAAAGGCAAATACGGTGGTTCCAGTAGCCGTTAAGAAGGCTGAGAAGAAGGCGAAGAAGTTGGACCCGTTTTTGTCTGCTTGTCAAGATGGCTCGGTGCTGGACACCTACACTATAGAGGAGATCCAAGACAAGACCACTACCGTTACTGATCGCTTTGGGTCCTCCCCCTTGCATTATGCTGCTGGTGCTGGTCACTTGCGGGTCTGCAAGGTTCTATTTCAAGTGGGTGGAAACCCTCACTACTGTGACCACAAGAGCGGTCGCAACGCCCTTCACTGGGCGGCACGGAACGGCAGAATGGGCATGCTGGATTGGCTCCTTGATGACTGTGATGTGCCTGTGGACACCGAGACTAAGGATGGCACTACTCCGCTACAGCTCGCATGCTGGGGAGGCTCCCCTCAAGTGTGTGACGCATTGGTCGCCCGAGGCGCGGATGCCCATCATGTTAATCGATGGGGGTGTATAGTAACTCACTTCGCAGCGTTGTCGGGCCAGCTAAAGACAATGAAGTGGTGCTCTTCAGTACTGAGCCCTGAGGAACTAGCTCAGGGCAATGACCAGGGCCACACAGCTCTGCATAAGGCGGCGTATGGGGGCCATGGAGATATCTGTCGATGGTTACTCACATTTGACGTCTTTAGGAAGCTTAGGAAGACGCCCGATGTTAGGGGGCAAACTCCTGCTATTCTCGCCCGGAAAAGTGGGCATGAAGGGCTGGCTGAATTCCTTGATGCTCGTTGTTGTTGATAATGATAGTTCCTTGTATGCTTTCAATGATCCTATCACGAGTTGTGTTAGTAGTGGGGAGGAGGAGATTGTTGCTTTACTAGAAGCAGGGATATGCGTTGTTGGCCGACCATGGGCCTCGCCAGTGTGGGAAAAATGTGCATGGTCAGCTACATGTGTCGGTGACAATATGAAAATTTTAGGAATTTTTTTGTTGGTTTCTGATTCGTACGTTGACTCCAATAGTTAGTGAGGAAACTCCTGAGCTCAGCAGATGGGCCCAAGCATATATTCCCCCAAAATTTGGTCCTCGTCGGCCACAGTATTGATTCTTTTCCCTAGCCATTCGGTCGTTCAGAACGGGTTATGGCTACCATTGTATATACTCCCTGTGCTTACTGTGGCGAAGTGGGCGAGTGGCCACATCCATACACGTGTAGTCGATGCCAGGATGTGAAGTATTGTTCCAAAGACCATCAGCTACAGCATTGGAAGGAAGTCTGCATTGTCGGGCGCGAGGCGTTGTAGAGGCCCTGGCAGGCTCATGGGGCAGAGTGTAGAGGAGCCGGCGGGAAGACACCAACTTTGGCCGAACAAGTTGCAGACCTGCGTGCGGCCATGCAGGTGGGCAGATTCTGATGAAAAAACCGTCAAATGCAATTCTCGATGTTCCAGACACACGCCGAGAGAACCCAACGCCTCAGCGAGGCGATAATGAAAGCTGGAGCCGAGCAGGAGCGGTAGGGCCCGGACTTGGTGGAATCTCAGGTCCTTCCGTGTTAGTCGAAAAATAATCGGGTGTTTAGGATCATTCAAGATGTCTCAGAGGCAACCGCGACAGTGGTGGAGGTCGCTAGAGAAAAGGATAGGGCCGAACAGGAGGTACCTGGCCGGGGACAGTGTTGGAATATGTGTTGGCTTTCCTCAGCTGAGCTCAGGAGTTTCATCGATAACTCGGGTAGAAGTATACAAAAAGAATTTCCTCAGAATTTCCATATTGTCACCGACACGTACATATTTTCCCACACTGCGTTTCGCAGTCGGCTGACAGGTAGCGACGGCCCAGAGTGAGCTGAAGGCTAAGTCGCGAGAAATAGAGATGTGCCTCACTCTGATAGGCGGCCACTACGACCATGGTCATGTCACTAGATGAGATGGTGGTTGTTGAAGGCTGCCCTTGACAGGCTACGAAGAAGACCCGGAATGAGGATGCCCTCCGGCCTTGACCGCGAGTCAGTCAGCGGCTCTGGCGGAGGCTTTGGCTGAGCGGGGATGGGCGGTCGTTGAGGGCTTCATCGACATGAATGCTGTTGGGAGGATGCGGTCCCTCTGGATGGACCGATATCACTCTGGTGGGTTCGAACTGTCGGTGATTGAATAAATTGGAGTCGGCTCAGGGGAGGCCAATTTCCAGAGAGGAAGGATGGGAGGCGGCAGGTCTGGTCAGAATATGAAGTCATTGCTAGAGATGCTCTCGCAGTACTGTAGAGGCTGTAGCTCAGATACGTTGAAGAGAGCTCCCGAGGGGACTTTGTGCGATGGCTGTCTCCTGAGGATGACGACTGTCCGATCAGTTACAAGTGGTTGAGAGCAGGTCATGGCTACACTCCATGCCGGTTCAAATATGAGCGTGTTCAGGTATGGACGGTATCGTCCAGAATTTGGTTCGAAATAAAAGATGTCCAGCGTTGGAGGAAGTGGACACGGTGGTGGCACAGAGCTCCATGATAGCTGTCTATCCAGGTGACCTATCTGATAATGATCGCGCGCCACCAAATTCTCGGGTTCGTACTTGGCACCCTACTCTGCTAGGTATAGGAAGTGGTAACGCGGTCGCGCGATATATTCGGCATATCGATAATCCCATTGACGATGGGAGAATCTTGACGGTGATGGTATATCTCAATCCTGATAGTTGGGAGATGAGTAGTCATGGAGGTGTAGGGCTCATACCACTCCTTTGTGAAATCGCATTCCCTCTGGTCACAGGCACTTCGGGTATTCCACACTGCAGAAGATGGCTCGGAAGTCGCAACGGATATCTGCCCGAAAGGCGGCCGGTTATTAGTTTTCCTCAGCGATCGAGTACCACATGAGGTAGCCAGCTTGACCGCGCGCCACGAAATTCTGATTGCTACTAGTCAGGTGCTTCCAGTGACAGGAGACCTTGATCGACTAGCCATCACTACTTGGTATATGGACTTCGCCGCCAGAGCCCGGGCCACTTCCGATGGGCCTAACTCGGAGGAAACGGAGAAGCTCCGGAATGAGATCGTCCGCATGGGTGGCCATAGTGTGCATGACCATTCCGTTGCTACTTGAACAACCTCCCTCTTGCCTTGTGTTGATCTAGGGTCTTAGAGAGCGCCATTCGCGAGGCTTCGGTATCGAGGCCCTCCAAGTCAGAGTATTAACGGTCGTGGGAATGTTGAGATCGTACTTGGAGTTTCTTATTGAGTTGTGAGTGACAGTTAGTTGTTCATGTCAGTAGCGCACAGCTGGCTTCCTCGGATCACAGCTGATCTAGCAGGAGTAGAAGCTGCTGCTACGTCGATCCTGGAAGCCATCGATTCGAGTGGCGAGGAACCACTTAGCATCGTCGTAGCGGGTCGTAGCGGCAGCGGCAAGACCGCATTGTGTTCGGCCATTCAAGCGGCGGCTGCTGCAGAGGCTGCTTGGGACACGATGACCATCGACCTTCTTGAGTGAGTCTCCGTCACTTACACCAATGGCAATAGTCGGGACCAACATAAGACTCACGATCATTCGTGTGTTCAGGTGCTCTCGTGACTCGGTAGTGTACAGCAATCCTCTGGCCCACTTCATGGATACCATCGAGCATCGCTATCGACGTATCCCTCACGAAAGCAACAGCATCTTGGTCCTCGAGGGGTGGTCAGACCTTGGTCAGGATGAGGCCTTGGCTGTTGAAGCTGTGTTGGAGCACTTACCCTGTCGCGGTCCGATGGTATGTCTGGTGCCAGTAATTTCTAAGGAAGACTCTCCAGCTTTCGCTGACGGCTACATCGAACTCGGCCCTCTTGACGACGCCCAGCGATTGGACTACTTCTCTCGGTGCCTGTCATCATGCGCTACGCGTACTGCTGTTGACCTTACGGAGGGAATGCTCATCTGCGATCTCGCAAGTGTGTACCGCTTCGCCTGCCTGAAGGCGATCGATGGTGGCCGCGATAGTCCCTCCTGTACTGACGTGGTCCGAGCAGTAGCTCAGCTCCAACGGAAGGCCTCTGATGTTCCTCCAGTGTTGGCTGGTCGGCCGTGTCTCTGCGACGGTGGGAACTCAGAGACGATGGTGAAAGTCTCTTCCCCTCTGGAGGAGTTCTTCGGCTCAAAGCCTCAAGTGGCTCTCCTAAAGGATTCTGTCGTGTCTAAATTTGGGCCAGGTCTTCCTCGTGATTTCCACAGCATTCTTATCACTGGAGCTTCGGGATCTGGTAAGACGTTTCTATCGAATCTCCTTGCTCGAGCCATCGGAGCTCGATCGGTGCTCCGCTTGAAGGCTTCGGACATTCTATCCAGCTTGGTGGGTGCTTCAGAGGCCAAACTTGCTAAGCTTCTTAGTGACATTCGCAAAGAGCCAGGCCCCTTCGCTATCCTCATTGACGACGTCGAGTCTCTTGCTCCCGCGGACGTGGGCAGTGTGAGCGGTACCGTTCAACGGTTGCTGGTGACTTTGCTGCAGTATGGCATTGACGACGCCGGCTGGGGATTGTTGGCCATGACTACTGTTGACGCTTCTAAAGTCCATTCAAGATTGCGGGAGAAATGCATAGAGGTCCAACTTGATGCAACTCTTGATCCCATCACAGCCGAGAGACTTTATCAGAAGAGTGCACAGGGTCTGCCACTCCCAGCGACGGGCCTCGGTTTTCTCTCGCCGGCTGAGATTGTGTGGAAGGCGAGAGAGGCCGCCTGTGATGCTGTTAGAATGAAGGTCGATGGAAATGTTAGTGATCTTTGCAACGTTTCTTCGTAACATGTTGAGGGTTGGGTTATCGACACAGAGTCTCATGTCTCGATGATGATCTCGATTGGGACCACGTTGAACGATTGGACTCAGTGCACGCTTTAGCTTCTGTAATGGTAATGAGCTGATGCATTCCTGTGGGACAAGCAAATTCTGATGTTCACGGTGAGACACTCCTCATAGTTTGTGAATGGGGACAGAAGTGGATACGCACAGGAGTGGGGCGATGTGCGAATGCAGGTTACTCCTAGTATTTGCAATAAATAGGAACGAGAAATTGTGATTTTATATGATTATTATTCTCTTGATTGTGTAGGCAATAGTCTACTACAAGTCAATTAGAATACTGTAAAGGAAGGAGACATGTATTGTTGTATCTCTTGGCCTCTGTTCAGTATAGTTTATCTGCCTATAGATGTTCTCCATTGGTCGGGGAGTATAATTAGCAAATAACCCCATTATCACGTCACGTGGCTCTCCTAGTCATGTCTAACGACGAAGCCTCATAATCTGACTACTGACGAATAGACCTATCGTCAGCTATTCGTCTTTTTACCATCCGAGGCATCACACGCGCGCGATACTATTTTCGTTCACATATGTTGATAGTACACAGCAAATCTTAAGCAATTCCTACTAGTATGTTGCATATGAAATATCAACGTACGAATAATTAGTAAATAGGTGAAATATAAATAGACAGTATATATATAATAAATAAGATCTTTAATTGAGGACTCCAGAGCCGTATCATTAATGCGGCTTTGATACAGCTTCTATCGTTGAATCAATAACGTAGTGAATATAAGCCACCTCAGCTATCTCGAGCTAGTCATCCAGTATCCTATGAAATAGGTTCGGATGAAGCGTATGGATCATCATCGGTGGAATAGTCGCATAGACAAATGCTGCGGTCTAAGGTTAAACAAAGACATCAATATATGTCTTTGGAGGGCCCTATTCGGGCATGATGTGACGGAGGAGTGGTATACAAGAATCACACAACAACTTCAGGGGACGAAAGATTTGGGATCAAGATCCGGAATTGGGGACGGTGCAAGATCGTTATACATATCAATGGTGAATAGTGTATTGGTTAAACTTCAAGGTTTCACCAGTAATGGCTCGGGTTCAATCTTCGCGGGCTGTAATTTTTTAACCCTCAACTTTGTTTCGAGGTTTAATATTCCCCGATTCTATGCGATCGTCAAACTCAACTCTTTCAAGCCTAACTGTGTATGTACGCTGCACCTACACATTTGACGACGTGAAATTCAACTAACCACAAACATTTTTCGGGCGCGCGCTACTACCGTTGTCTATTTCTTGAAATCGTTCTGTCGGTTCCGCGCTGAATAATAGATCTTGCTTTCGATGATTACGCAGTCCCCTACCATGTGCATCACAATAACATCGCACTCCCTACTGTGTGTGATTCACTATAAAGCAGGTGTCTCCATTTACTTCCTCCTTATACGTGGTTCGGCAGAAATGGAAAGAGCGTACATATTTGGAAAAAGCGGCATAGATCTTCTCCTCAGTAGTTTCCATGTCCTCACCAATGCCTCCTGGAGGGAGTCCCAGCCCTCCAGGCAACTACCCAACCGGTGGCCCCCCTCTCCCCCCTACTGACCCTGCTGCCTCAGGGGCCATAGTAGAGCAGATCAAGCTGTCCATACGGGACGCTGTGGGTCGATGGTCTGCCAATAGTGGTGGGGAAGGGATCCCTATAGGAGTCCTCGAGACGGATCCTACTGTTGGGACTATGCTACCTAGAATGGGAATGAGGTGAGGCTGAATCTCCCCTCGGCGTATGTGATGTTTTATCTAATTCGCCTTTTCACTGAACGAGAGTGAATTATGGAAACTCGGTGAGAGTCGAATCCCTCTGTTCCTTGTTAAGTCCAGGTCGTAGGCAGTCAATTTCGTGGCGCGTGACGGTATGAACGCTGCCCACTGACGAGTGGTTTCTTATAGGTTACAGAGATTCATCCAAGTCCACTGCCACAATGACTTCAAAGTCTCGATGGACGGCCGAGTAGGACTGGCAACAACGACCGCCCCGATGCCCTACCAACAGACAATGGTAGTAGTATTGACTTGGGACGCCGCCCCACTGCTATTCTTGTTGGGGAAGCTGGAGGGGTCATCAGCGGACCCCTCATGAATCCATCATAGGATTAAATTCAACGTTCAGCTGCCGGTTCTGGGAAAGCTCATATTTTTTAGTCTTCGTTGTTCATTTTCATTCGAAAATACTCACTCGATCCTCAAATACGCGTGTTGGAAGTTTTGAGGAAAGTGTGGTAAAATCTCGTCGGCTTTTTTCGAGTCGTAGTGATACTTCCCGAGCTCAGCTGAGGAAACCGAACATACTTGCCAACACGGTTGCTCATAGCGTATGATGCCGACTTGATACGGTAGATGTGGGTGAGCGCCATTCAGTGTAAATGCGTAGAAAAACCGAGGGTGGCCAGGCGCAGTGTTGGAGGAATATAGGTTCGCTTCCCTCAGCTGAGTTCAGGAGCTTCCTCACTATTGCCTATGCATTTGGGGCAGGGGTGTGGGGAAACCAAAATCTGGTAGGAATTTTCATATGTCAGCAGCACATGTAGTTGACCATGTGCTTGTTTCTGTGAAAATATGCACTAGATGGGAAATACCGCTCTAGTTTCGCCATCGCTGTGGCCGCATTGAAAAGGGATACAATATTGACGCTGGATTGTGACGTGGTTGTTGTTGTTGTTGCTATTCAGTCTACGGGTGTCCAGCAACAGCAGCAGCCGCAGCCTTCCCCCGCGCCATCTGAGATGGTCCAAGGCGGGCCTTTTGCTTCTCGTAGGCCCCCTGGGGCTCTGTACCGGCCGGCCATGCTAGCTGCCCCCTACAGCCCTCCATTGGTGCATCATAGGAAGGGTGGTGGTGTAGGAAAGGGTGGCAAGGGTGCCCTTGGGCCTATGGGCATGTCCCCGTCCTTCCACGCAGCGGCAGCAGCAGCGGCAGCGGCGGCAGCGGCAGGGTTTGGGTCGCCCTTGGGAGGGCTGCCTCAATCGGCGTTAGGAGCAGTGAGGGCAGGCATGTCGCCTTGGGCAGCGGCAGCAGCAGCGGCCCAACATATGCATATGGGGATGTTCGCAGCCCCCCATCAGGGCCCCCCACCGGAGCTGCCGGAGCCCCCGCTGTTTGTGAGGGTAAATCCCTCGGCGGCTGAGAGCCCTGTGAGGGCACTGCAAAGCGCGTTGGCACATCTGTCGGGAATGCCGAGATCATCGAGAACGATGGCCGCGTTGTTGACGCTTGTTGCGGAGGAGAATCAGAATGCTGATAGAAGTGGAAATCCGATTTCGAGCGATGTGAAGAGGCTGATTGAATCGCATCCAGCGGTGCGGAAAACGGTGGAGTCGATTTTGCTGCCACTTGTGCATTTTCAACTGCAGCAAGCTGGGCATGCAGTGCCACCCGCGCCCGCCACGGCGATCGATTTGGTGAAGGTATTGAGGGCCGTTGATGGCGATGGGGCCGACGATGTTGGTGAGGAGAAGTTACCGCCGTTACCGCGGATAAAATTGCGGGGGAAGGACAAGGCTTTTATTCAGTTCGTGCAGGCGGCTACATTGATCAAGAATGCTACGGTAAGAGGAGGGTGCGTATCTTAGGTTCATCGTGGTAAGATACAAATTAGGTCCGATTGTGTCCATCTGTTATATGATGGGTCCGTCGAAAAAAAGTATTGTTTTTAGGGCGGAGCGATGCTGCAAGATCGAGATGCATATGAGATGATTCGAGCAGTGGTGGAGAGTAGGGATAGTGGTGACACGTGGGATGCCGGGGAGAAGTACCGTCACCATCGACGACGATGATCCTCTCTAGATGTATACTATTGCTGAATAAATTGTGATGGTTTTCTTGGCCCTCGTGGATTAGGCTTGTGTTGAATAAATTCGGCACGGGTTTTATGACGTTATGGACATGACCGCTGCGCCACGAAATTACGCAAGGCGTGAATACATCGGATCGTTTCTCTTCTTCGTCTGCCATGCCCACAGACACCCCGACTGTCGTTGATGAGAGAAACGACGAGCTTGCTGTTGCCTTGGTACTGTATGGAATGCTGTCGTATGTGTTGGTGTTATTCTGGGCTGTGAATACGACAAGACTATGCTTGAGGACGTACCAGATGATTGGGCATTCCCTCAGCATGTTCGTGGGAGTGCTAATGTTTCAAACGTTTGATACTATCATCAACGACCTCCTGCAAGGAGGGGATCAAAGTGAGAGGAGCTGATAGTTCAGTGTTCTCACGAGTAGTCGTGGTTTATTCCGAGTTCGTTTCAAAGAGGTGTGGTATGAACCAGAATG